AAGAAAGGTAGCAAATTCTCCTCAGTTATTTTAAGTATTGGTCCGGCCGGGGCTCGAACCCTCGACCTTCCGCACAACACAATCCAGCGCTCTAACCAATTGAGCCAACTGGGAGGCGGTTACTCGCAGACGGCAACTTCTAGGTATTTGTATTGAATTTGATTTGACTTCCCAACGCCAAAACCATCTTCACAGCCTATCATACAACTCGTATCTTCAACTGTGATATTGCTATTTTTTAGTTCAGGTCTCAGTAATCTGTCATACTCACTAAACCATCAAGCCCGTGAGGAAAGACCTTGTTTACCCACACCATAAGCTGTCAGTGAACCCGTGAAACTTCTGTTCTACATTTCAGGTTAATTGGATGGGGCCAAATCAGACGAGGAGTTACCATTAAACCAGAATCGTAGGATAAAGCAGCAGAAGTTATGTAGTTTTAAAGAATCGAGATCATCAAGAAAGGCTTCTTTCGAGAACGTGTCCTATGGCCGTGCTTTAGTAAACTCAATGAATGTCCCACTATCGTCTTTATAGGTCTTTATGAAGAGAATCCTGATTTGAAGATTTATCAACATGAGGACATTATTTCTTGTACAGAAAATACTGTAAGCTTACATAAAAAGTTCATGAAATCTTAAGCTGAACTGTGTGATCTAAACTGAGATTTGGAAGTCGCTAGTTTTTTTTATCTGGCTCAGTTTTGGTTTGTCACGCATTACTTCTCCGTTCTTGGAGACGTCACATCACTTCTCTTCATCGATGAAAAAAACAGCGTGACGTCCAAGACACTTGGAATGTGTGAAAAACAGATAGGAAACATTTCGTGCGAAAGCCCAGATAACGGTTGCTAAGGAGACGAACGATTTGAAACGCTAGAGTGATCAAAAATCCTCTGTCAGGGTTATTCAGACACAGTATATCGTAATAAACATAACAATCTATTTTAATTGTTTCAATTTCTTTTTCACTGACGAGACTCAAAGGGGGTTTGAAAAATGAAATGTTACCAGAAAGGTTCATCTAAGGGAAAAAATTATCGAGGGGTGCTTTCGATCCAAGTCGCCATCACCTCCTCGTCCTATCCCAGTTTCCATAACAGTGAACGATCATTACTCCTCCCTAACGGATGAAACCCATTAATTTCGTCAGGTTTTTATGACAGTTTACCAGAACCCTTTTGGTACCCCTTTGTTCAGAGATGAACTCTTGAGAGTTCATGTCTTGCCTGGGAACACAACACAATGACCCGTTTAGGGTTAGAACCCAAACCTCTCCAGAGCAAATCCGAAAGCAGCAGCCCATCGTTACCGCTAACTAATGATCTTCAGCTTTCTGTTGTGCCGGATACGATGTACGGCCATAATGGGCATTGTCCGTTTAACACTGCTCGTCAACCCGGAAATGCACTCTGAATTCTGCAACCAGTTGGACTCATTAATTTTACATGTAAATCTATTTTTTTTTTTCAATTGATGTATTGGCACATCATTCTTACCGATTGGTTCGCACGTGTCTCAAAGAAGTAAATTAAATTAGGAGCTCCCCTGTACTAAGAAGGTTGTATATGAGATGGTCCTGAGTCTTCTCTCGATCTGTTTAGTTGCGAGCCACGGAATGCGGTTGGATCGAAAGCATAATTCGATGCCTGCTGATAAAGATTTTTTGTCATCAAGGCCTGTACTTAGTTATGCGGTACCGGCGTTCTATTACTCGCTGCCATTGTATCTCAAGACGGAACTGGAGCGTGTCCAGAAAAGGGCGCTGGCTATTATTTTCCCGGGGATATACTACAGCGATGCGTTAGTCAGCACCAAACTACCAAGCATTGAACGTTACAATGAAAATATTTGTAAGAAGACCTTCCATTCTATAATAAATGATAAGAGTAACCGGTTAAGAAATCTTTTACCCTCAGCCCATAAGTCGTCTTACCATCTAAGACGATGCAGGCGTTTTGAAACACCAAGGTGGAAAACAAATAAGTTCAGGGACACATTTTTAATGAAATCTTGTATTGACCATGATATTATATAAATATAGCTTTATTATTTTTAATAATAGGTTTCATCATTTTACAGTGTTCAATTTCACTTTTGTGCTTATTATTATTCTTTCATTAGTCATACTATTAGATATTCTGTTACAAGTTTTGTAAATACGCAATTCAGCCCCTTAGAGGGCTGCCACGCATTTATTTGTGAAATAAACCTTTAAACCATGAAATAAACCTTTAAGGAAGGTTGTATGATGAAGCAATTCGTCTCGGTCGAGAGATTCATTAGATATCTTTCCTGACTTTCTCAGCTCTTCTTGTCCTTTTAAGCTTCCACGAGAGATACCTGTTACCAACCGAGTTTGAGGTCCCTAATGTAAATTACAGACCGAGGTTTTGCGTTCGGATTTATGGGCCGCGCTTCGAGCTCGGGCCCTAAATCCGTGCGGAAAAATCCGGGCTCCGTAAGTTACGATACGGACCGACAAAGCGAGGTTAGTAAGATATTCGCTTTATCTGTGAGTTCAAATAGAAGGGGAAGATTCCAATTCAAACAAACTTTTGGATTTAGCGGGCCGTACAGTGAAATACTGCTTGCTAAATTTACCAGTCATAGAACACGTACCAACTGAGAGATATTTAATAATTATTATCCAACTACACCTAGACGAGTACAAATAACGCCATAGACGAGTACAAATATCACGCGGTATTTGTACTCGTCTATTGTAGTACCGGTTAAACAGGTTTTCTCGCATCGCGCAAGCGAAGAATTGGATTGTAGGTACGGAAAAAAAAAACAAATGGCGGACAATTTGAATCATGTTTCCGACGACGAAGAGTCAGAATGGCTGGCAAATATAGGTCCAAGTTCATTAGATGAATCGAACGAAGAAAAACAGCTTGACGACCAGAAAATTTCTTCATTTAATGAAGAAAATAGAAACAGCGACACAACAACGCGCCAATTCCGTTCCGCTTCGCATACTTCTGTCACGCATTTCCCGTAAATAAATATCCGCGAAATTCGCCCGCACTGAAATAACAGTTTGGCGTGTTGGATAATAAATAACTTATTAGACGTTTTGTTGTGTAGTATCGCTGAGTATTTTTACTCGTTATTTGTATTTTGACTCGCCCTACGGGCTCGTCAAAATACGGCACAACTCGTAAAAATACTCAGCGATACTACACAACAAAACGTCTAATAAGATATATTTATTCCACGAGCGCGCGTTGGATATGATCATGAGATGATAGATAGCCAACGAGGCGCGTAGCGCCGAGTTGGCTATAATCATCTGATATCCAACAAGCACGAGTGGAATAATTGTTTTATTAAAAAAAAATGCCCCCAAGATATTAGACAAATCTTCTCGACTTTATTTTGTATGAAGAAACCGGATGTTACAATGTACAGATATTAGATTATGGTATATTGGTTCATATACCATAATGGCTAAGCCAATAAAAAATCTTAAATTGCATTATCCAATAATCCAGTTTTTAAAAACTATAGATGGTTCTAAGTTGCATACAGCATGCGGGGCTTTAACGAAGATAAAATACAAGCAGCACAGAGATTTCGACTGAGTGTCGTAAAAACAAAACCAAGGTTATCCCAACAGCCAATAAGAAGCAGGAAAATACTTTTTAAAGCCAATGAAAATTCAAAGTAAAAATCATCAAAATTGCTAAAGCGGGGGAAAACACGGGTGGCCAACTCAAGGTTGGTTATAGGTTTGATTCTGATTGGTTGAGAGAGCAGCGCGACTCTTCTGGACCAATCACAGAGCGAGGCAATTCCGGATTACTTTCGACACTTCATTGAAAAACTGCTCCACGATGGCTTCCTGTTTCGTCTTTTGTCAAGTTGTTCTATATCACACGGATACTGGCATGAGAGTTCTGTGAACCTTTCGATTATCCTGAACTTTTCTTTTACATATCTATGGAATAGAAAGCAAAACTGAATTGGCTCATTGTAAAAATTGTATTTTCTTCCGTTGCGCGATAAGCATCGAAACCGGAAAATCCGGGAACACATATATCTGTTGATATCCAATTTCCCGATAGGCATGGGCAAGAGTCCTCCGCTGACCAATCACAGATCAAATGCAATCATTACTTTTCATTACCTCTTGACTCCACCGAATAGATGTAATATTATTGAGCACCGCGTGGTGAATAATGAGCCCAAGGTCGTACTGTACAGCACATTGCTCCAAGTTTGATATCGAGGCTGCCATAGATATGCAGACTGCTTGATATTTCTTGATTCACTGAAAGGTCAAGTTCATCTTGAATTGATACAATTTTTTAGCTGCCTTTAGCGGAAAGATAAAGCCATCTTAGCAGGCTTCGCTGTTATCTCGTAAATCATGGCAGCGAGATTTTAAACGAACTTATTGCACAGCTATTGATGCTTGGAGATTTCTTAGGCTACAGTGTCTCCAGTGTTTAAACTGAGTACTTCGCGTGGAAATAATTTAAAAATTGATTTAGTGTATTTTGTTCCAGCTCAGGTACTTGAATTATCTCAGCCTGTGTGTCTGCTTGAATTTAAATCTAGAGGCTTCCATGATCCAGTGTTTGAAATTAGGTTTTTGAATCTCGACTTTTACTCTCAGGGTTATGGTTTAGTATGAATCAAAGAACTAAAAGCTTGCTTCCTTGAGTAGTCTCCTTTTCGAACGACTCTCCAATATTTACCGACTCCTTAGTTTGTATCTGATGAGGCAGAACTGATCGCACGTGACAGTCTCGTGTCACTCAGGATTGCATAATACACTGGAGGCCGTGCAAAGTTTAATGCCTTCCGAGTTACCTTCATCTGTTAAAAGTTGCCCTCGTGAGCAAGTTTCATTTTGTTTCTAGAAACGTCGTGAATCTTCTGTATAGTCATCATAATTTAATCTTCCCATTCATAAATCTAAGCAGCACATGTAGCAGCTTTTCACTTTCATTGCCTATGCTTCTAATATTTATTTATAGATTTCGGTAGCGAAGAAACAAAGCTTTCGCCATCTCCGTAAACTCTCGAACTAGAATCTTTCTCATTATAAGTTGCCGCAAATATTGTTGTGTGTTTTTTCTGTCAGTTGTGTAATCTTTAGTGCGTAACTCGCATGCGATATACTAATTCAATCTTTTCACAGGAACCATCGGATCAAGTCGACCTGGGTCAAAACTGGATATAGACCTCAACTCTCCCTTTATCACAAGCCAATCACATTGAACGACTAGGAACCAATTTGACGCGTGTGGTTGATTTCAGACTGCTATACGCCAGCGAAGGAATCAATAACAAAGGTGGTCAGCGCAAATCGATTGGAAACCTGACATGTTATGCGCAAGCGCATGGAAATTTAACACGTGTCACTTTTCCTTAAAAGGGCATAAGACGCCTACGCACAGTATCATTTCATCATAACCTGGTGCCCGATTCATGATCAGCACGTGGACATCACATGCAAATTATCCGCTTGACTTGTTCGCTTGCATGCGATTCGTCCAAATTAGTAAACCATGTCAATTTCTGGCTTCATTATGCAAAGTAATTTAAAACCCAGCGGAACCACAGGAAATCGTGTTTTCATTTTGAAACGGGAATATATTTCTCTAAGAATGTTCGTGTCTGCGTAAATGCCAGAACAAGCGAAGCAATGTGCTTTATTTCGCGCTGTGTTGTTTAGTGCTTGATAGCATTAATCTTCCGTATTCCGTCGTTAAGGTTTGGAATCTTCAAAGCTATAAATGTTGTTTGACGCGACCTTTCAACCAGAGAAGTTTGAATAGATCTGCTTGAATTAGGGCAATTAACGCTACTAAAAAAAACTTTGTATTCATGCCGATTTTAGGACACAATGGTAGGCAATAGTTGAAAGGATTATTTGAGCACGGAAGATTGCACAAACTGAAATTGAAATGTAATCACTATTCGCTGTCTTTGGTTCAAAGATTGATTTCATTCGAGCCAAAAGGCTGAGTTACTGATGCGTGCGCTTTACTGCGCGATGGTTAAGGCGTGACAACGCTCTGCGTTGAGATTGGATGATATCTTGCGCGCCGACTGTCAATCATCAAAACTTGAGTTTTTGATTGGCTGAATATGACGTTTTTCCTTCATATGCCAATCTTTTCTCATCCCACGCCTTTCATATTCTCCAACGGAAAACGACCACCGCAGTGTTGGGGGACCTCGGGCCGGCCGAGCTGACTGCGCTGAAATCATCGAAGGGGGAGTACAAATACAAAACAAATGGCGATACCCCTAGCTCAGGATTCTACAGATGTGGGAGTTCGGCTTAGCACTGTAGGTTCAATGAAAGTATTTTCCACTGAAAAATGCTCCATTTCGCTTATAAGATGCATTCATTCCACAGCTCAGTCCCAAGTATTTGCACACGAATTCGACAAGTCACACATGGCCGTTCAGTGCTATCGCCGAACTCATCGGTAGGTTTTCGCATTTCATTTCGCGACCATGAGCACGAAGGGTTTTCATTTGTTCTATCTCTCTACCTTTTGCTCGCAGATAATGCTTACGATCCTGACGTGAATGCAAGACAGTTGTGGATAGACGTCAAAAGATACCACAAATACAACTACTGTTTAGTGTTCACGGACAACGGGGCCGGGATGGGTCCAGAGAAATTACATAAAATGCTTAGGTATGAGTTATTTTTTCGGACGATGCACTGCTTACGGCCTACTGACTTGATAAAAGGCTGCTTAATACTTACACCTACGATTTGTTAATTTTGCAGCTTTGGATTTTGCGACAAGGTAGGATTTTGCGGAACGATTTAATTCCACGTTGCCTGTGCGTTACGAATTTATTCACTTACCTGAAACTGATTTATGCGATTTGACGTAAATTCGAACTCTCAACGTTTTTTTTTTGTTGTTGTTGTTGTGATGTTATTTTCTAGGTAGCAAAAAATGGACATATGCCAGTAGGACATTATGGCAATGGTTTTAAATCGGGATCCATGCGATTGGGAAAAGACGCGATCGTGTTTACAAAAAACGGGGACACCAAAAGCGTAGGGTTTCTTTCTCAAACTTACTTGGAAGCCATTAAAGCCGAAACCATTCTTGTGCCAATGGTTACCTGGGATTCTGATGGAAATATCCTTTTCTAAATGAAGTTATTTCTACGTGAAAACCGATCGCAATGTCTCGTTCACTACATCTTCTTTACTTCCGCCATGCATGCTTATGGTTCGCGCCAAACTCGAATTTGGCGCCTCAAATTAAAGACAGTCTCGGACGTACAGGGTTAGCAAGTGGCTGCAAAGTGTGTTGAATTATATAATACATCACCGTTTCAAATTTTCCTCAGTAAGTTTGGCCGTTTGTGTTGCAAGTCCTCTTAAAAATTTAGAAAATGTGATTAAAAATTGAAAATAATTCTTTTTTTTTTTATAAAAAACTGCATCTTTCTATTTTTTATCTTGAAAATGAATTCTTTTACATCATAAGTCACCTTGAATGGGCTGATAATAGCAAGATTTGACCAAAAGGACCTGCATTTCTATAAGAATTTCCTTGGAAGTTAAACTTCAACTCTTAAACTTTTGGAAGTGATTAACATGTAACTTTTTCCTGTAATACCCCTACATTTACCAGTGAACAGGTAATGAGAATATTCGAACTTATTAGGTACAATTTGTAATCTTGATCTTAGACCAAATTTTTACAACTAAGTTATTAGGAAATGTGAAGCATCTAGAGTTAACAGACAGATCTCAGGTATTAAAAGGGGTTAAATAATTTTCTTTTGACCAAGAAGATTGTATTTGGCTATGAAATTCATGAAAGGCTTGTGTTTGTATTTATCCAATGAATAAACTTACTGTAAAAGGGCTTATTCAATAACAGGGTTGCCATGGTCAGGGAAAAACAAAAAATTTTCAAGGTCAGGGAAAAGTCAGGAAATTTTGCAAAAAGTCGGGGAAAATCTTAGTTCTCATCAAAGTCAGTGAAAAGTCAGGGAATTTGTTTTGAGGGTTCCACAAAGGTTTGTGAGGTAGTCAATCAAGGGTAGCAAATCAGATAGAAGCTTAAAAGCAATGGAGAAATGTAAAAGTGGATTTCGCCAGTTTGATAATTAATTTAATTTTAGGTCAGTGAAAAATGTTTTGAGGTCAGTGAAAAGTCAGGGAATTTTTTGGGGTTCTAATGAGTGGCAACCCTGAATAAGTTTTGACTAGTGGTGAAAAATCCAATATTTGTTTGATATCCTTAACATGTCTTAAAAATTGTTCAGAAGTCTGACAAAGACAAAGCCTTACAGGATATCCTAACACATTCAATGTTTAAACACAAAGAGGAACTTTTTGCTGAGTTTGCTGGAATTCAAAATCCCGGTGGTACGCGTATTATCATCTTCAATGTTCGAACTACTTCTGATGGCAAACCAGAATTTGATTTTTCAACTGCACTTGATGACATTAAAATACCTGAGGATACAGACTCGGAAATCAGTAAACTGAAAAGGCAGGAGCGGCAAAATCACATTCCAGAGTCAGATTACTCTTTAAGGGTAAGTTTGTGTGTGTTTTCAATTAATAAATAGTAGTTGCATTACTAAGTAAGCTTTGAATTAACTGAGTTATCATTTACTGTGAAGTAATTGGTACATGTCAAGTAAAATCATAGCCTACTTTCACTGAAATTGATAACTTAAGATTATTGATTGAACTTCCCGTAGCCTCCCGAGCAAATTCTCTGGTTTTGTTTTACCTCAGCTCATCTCTCCTCTGTCTTTAATGTTTTTGGACCTGCAACAGCCTTTGTACAATAAACTGTAACTGCATGTAACTTTTTTCTAGGCGTACTGTGCAATTCTGTACCTAAAGCCAAGAATGCAGATAATACTAAGAGGCAAAAAAGTGCGCACCATGGTAATAACAAAGAGTCTCAGTAAGACTGAAATGGATTACTACCGCCCTTCCTTGAGGGAGGGGAACACACATGCTGGAGCTGTATCCTTAATTTTTCAGACCTACCTTTAAATTGAAAATTCTTGCTGTGGTGAGGTACAGGTATGCCTGACTACCTCTGCAGGGACTATTTAATCAATGGGTAGCACTTTCTGTCAGTTTATTGATGTAATAACCCATGACAGTTGTGGGGAGAATGCAAGAAAAAGGTTATAAATCAGGAGAGGGAGGCGAGTGATTAACAAATGTCTCTCATGTTTTCCCAACAACCCAAGTGGTTTATTTCACCAGTAAACCAATGGGAAGTGTGGTCAATAAACTTAAATTTTCTGTAGGTTTACTGATGCAAGAAATGATAGGTATTTGACCAATCAGTGTGCTTGTGGTATCTCTGTTAATAAATAGCTCTGCCTTACAGTCTTAGCTTAAACAGTATCATTTTGTTTTGTTTTCATCTTTAAACATTATGTGGTTTAATCCTACTTGTTTTTCATCAACAATTAATAAAACTGTGCTTTTAACCAAACTCATCCTGATGACACTAGTCACAAATGAACAAAATTTTGCCAATTTCTGTAGAAAGTGTATCAAACACAAAAAAATAATAACATGCAGTTTTTAATAAAAATATTAATTATTATTTTCAGTGGAGGTTGGCTTAGGAAAACTTACTTTGTGGAAAAAGGCTTAAAAAAATACCTGAAATCCAACCTGACCTGTGCAACTCAATTGAAGTATGGCCTCTGTGGGAGAGAGGCATATTTCAACCATCAGTGAAATTTACTTGATCAACTCATTCAGTCAGCATATGTAAGCTCTGTTTTATGGTGGTAGAATGAAATTTTCTTAGTATCTTTCCTTAACTTGTTGACAGTTAAATGGGCAAAAGACTAAAATCACATTTGGTTTCAGTCAAAATAGAAATCATTATGGAATAATGATGTATCACCGCAACAGACTAATCAAGCCGTATGTCCGTGTTGGTTATCAGTTAAAGGTAACTTATTCATAATTTAGTTATTAACCTTTTTACTCTGAAGATCCAATCATAAGATCTTATTGTCTGCAGAATCATCTGCCATAATTTCAGCTTAAATAATTTGGTTTTAAATCAAACAATGTATATGTGCACGATCCTCGCAGTAAAGCACTATTTAAGCAGTAGTGAAAATCAGACCTGAAATAATTTTCAGGTCTGATTTTTACTTTTGCTTAAATAGTGCTTTACTGGGAGGATCGTGCACATATACGTTTCATAATCGCAGTTCAGATATATGTATTTCAGATATTTGTTGTGTTTAAATCAAACTATCTCCCTTAACCTTTTCCTCCCAACATTACACGAGAAATTCTCCTTCCTTGCATGCCTTACAATTTGTATGATGTTAGTTAGGAGAATTTGGTAATGGATGATCTAAAACTCCCTCTAATTGATATTTTTCATTATTTCCATCACTTGCCTGCTTGATATTGTGTGGAGAACTTCTGTCTGAGTCACTCACTGGAGTTAAAGGGTTGACTTGAAGTTTTTCTTTCTTTTCTTCCC